ACTAATATTTCATTCGGCTATGAAAATGGTGTACCCTTATTTTTGTGTACACTCACATGAATATCAACAAAACGTTGTGCTTTTGTAAAATAGAGAAAACAAACCGGATGTGCTTTCTGCAGTCTGCGTGAACAGGGGCATGTCGAGCGCTTTGCTGTGTCCGAAACTGATGGTTTATATTCACAATACAGGATGTACGCAAGACATTTAAGACTGAATCCATGAAGGGCTAATAATGACAGTAAGACGTTAATAAAGTATGATCGCTCTTTGGTTCATATTTAAGAAATGACTTTGCAAGTCGTAGTTATAAGTCATAGTTATTATTACAGCAAAAATGTGTTTTTGTTCCATTAATAATTTTAATGTGAGGTTGAAAAATAAAGGGTGCTACAAGTCAGTTTGCTGTAGGCTATTCATCAAAAGCAGCATGAAAAAGCAGCGTGCTCACTGGCAGCACATGTACTGTATATTAGGCCTATATAAGATCAGCATTTGAACACTATAATAAACACACAAGAATTATCTGTGTGATGACACTGTTAATTTTATTATTGCGAAGTTTGCGTGTGCAAACACACAATGGAAAAGAGAAGTAAGTTTATCAAGTTAATCCATAGTCCAGTGGTAGAAGGAAGTCAGTGATTTCAGCGACACAGGTTCAAATCCCGTGATTGTGGTGGGGTTTTTTTTGTTAGTTTTTTCTAATAATAAAATTATATATAAAATTATTAATACAGATGTGTGTATTCTGCAGTTCGCTGGTTTATGTTACACCATTTTTTTTCTTTTAGATAAAGCATGTCCATTTTAAGGCCTGGACACACCAAGCCGACTTCAAAGAACTAGTGGCGATGAAAGCCGACGGTGTTGTCGCCTCGCGTCGGACCAAAAAGCTGTGCTCGAAACACACCGCACAGACTACAGCCGACGGCAAACTAGCACGTGCGTTCTGCGCATGCGTGAGAGGAATTAACTGTCTATATCAGCAGCTATCAATAGTATATATTCGTCCTTCAAAAGGAGAAACTGAAACAAAGATATACGAGATAAACGCAGATATACGAAGCGCTTGCTTACATTGCATTTAGAATTTCAGTAACGTTGATAACTTAAAAACATGAGCCGCTTAAAATGATTAATGAAAACATTCGCCTATTAGAATGATTGGGAATGATTGGGAAAGATCACGTAACATTTAAACAGCCTTCTGTCTGTAACGCCTTCATTTACGTGCTTGTTTTCATCTCTTTCGCTTTATTCTCGGGCACTGACTCATTCGCTAAACTGAACGTCCAATCAGAGTTCTCACTCTCGCCGACGTTCCCGACGCCGATTCAATATGTTGAATCGGGCAAACTGCCGCCAACGTGAGCCCGACGAGTGTAACACACCAAAAAAACCAGCCTGACCGTCGCTCGCCATCGGCTTGACGTTGGCCAACGGCCGACTTGGTGTGTCGTGGCCTTATAGCTTGTGGGGGTTGAAATAAAGGTGTGGATCGCTTGCTCTTTCATATGGAGAGCAGGGGCGGACTGGGACAAAAATTCAGCCCTGGCACTGTAGCCACACCAGCCCACATTACCACACCGACACAGCCCCACCCACGGACACGCGCATTCACTACTTATATTTGTGTACAGATGGTGAAATAATATAAGCAGTACCATAAGTAATAGATATTTAAACATTTAATGTATGTGACAGGCAATAGAGCACTCGTTTATAACAAATTTATACATACAGTAAAAACAAAAGAAAAAAGAATCTGAGAATGTTGTAGAGTCTGTGTGCTGTCCGTTTATGCCGTTTGTCTGCTATTACTTACTGTCATTCTCTACAGTGTTGTTCTTTATCGTCACTGTCTGTATGTTGGATTCTCCTTGTTTCTCTCAGTTGACACTGTACACATTGTCTGTCTGATTCTACATCTTCTCATCCATTTTAACTCTGTAACTGCAATTTTAATGTTTGTATGGCTGTCTGTGATTATACTTGTTCTTCACTCTTGCCTGACTGTCATTGTGTCCATGCTTCTTCTTGCTGGTCTCTGCTGTCACTGTGCTTTATTGTATTGTCAGCAGGCGTCGCAGCAATTCACTCTTCACTTGACAACATCTGTATCTAGGGCCATAAGTATTTCCTTTTCAGTTGCCATCAACATAAATGCCTCCAAGTGATCATTGGATATGGTGCTCCTGAGCTGATTTTTTATAAATTTGAGTGTGGAGAAGCTTCTCTCACAAGCAACCTGGGTGACAGACAGGGTGAGTAGGAGCTTGTACCCAAGGCCTATAACATGGTAAGCATCTGTTAACAAGTTGTATCGCTGTAAAAGCTGATAACAACATACGGCACAGTTCTTACATGTTGAACAACTTTTATTCATAATCTCTACCTGTTCTTCATCAGTTCCATCCATAGGTATCTCTCTCACAATCCTGGTTGTGTACTCCTCCACTGCAGACTTTATCAGTTTCTCCCATTGACCAGCGAGACTAGTCAGCTCATACTGTAAAGTGACAACAGTGGCCCGGTTGTCAAACTTTAGTAAGCATCTGCTTAGTCCTGTGAGCGACGTCTTGGGCAGTCCATTATCTCTGATCTCTGATAATCTTATAGGGTCCAGATAAGCAAGGTCTGCAAACAATGTGCCATATTTCAGAAAGCGTTGATGGATGCTTTCTTTTTGTTCACGTGAATTATTTCTCATGCATGTGAATTGGGTTACGCATGTGTGCATCTCGTCTTTTGCGTGAATTATTATGGAGATCATTCTGGCTCCATAATTATTTGTATTGGAGTCAGATAAATAAAATTATGCTTGTTGTCGTGGCAATTTTCCGTTTCAATTAAAGGTATGAGACAAAAGTATTTTGAATATTTATTTTCCTGCAGGAAAATGTCTACATTCATACAGTCACACCCAAACATTTATACCTTCATCAAATGCGGATGCTTTTATCTCATCCAATCATAATGCATCACGCGACTCTGTTCCCCTTTCGGGCTCTGTCTTTACATTTATTTTGAAAAATGAAGCTCACGATTATGGTAAGGGGTGTTACATTTCCGACGAGTGCTTGCGGTGTTCAGCCAATCACAATGCACTGGGTCAGCTGGCCAATCAGAGCAGACTGCGCTTGTCAGAAGGAGGGACTTTGTAGAAAACGAAGCGTTTGAGAGAGGCAGGGCATAGAGGACCTATAATAATGTACAGTATTTGAAAAATTATGTGTTTTTTGAACATTAAAGCATGTCAACATATTCTGTTACACCAAATACACAAAATAATGATCTTTATAAAAGCATCATATGACCCCTTTAAGGTGCCCAACTATGTCCTCCAGATGCGTTTCTAAGAATTTAATGCAAATAATTTTCTAAGTAGCCAGGACATCTAAGAAACTAAAATAACATTTTTGTTTCACACACTTGTCTCGCACACATACACAAATAGATTTCCTGTTATCTCTCAACTTATAAAAAAACTCAGTCTCTGAGTGCTTCAGTATGCTTGTCTAAAGAATACTCTTTAGTACAGTGAGGCAAATAATATTAATGTTTCAGATAGAATTAAAATTTCCTCCACACTTGTTAAACTTCAACTGCCTTTTGTTCCAATTATTGGTCCAAAATAGCACTGTAAGCTAGAGACCTGCCCGTAAAAATATATGTTATTTTCTCCCACCCGCAATATTCAAGTTTTGTCCCACTCCCGCCCACAAAAGTCCGCAGGTAAACGTATAGGCTAAGTAGATTTACTTTCACTGCTTCCTCCTGTCACGGTGCTTCTATGTGGAGTCGAGGAACGCGGAGACGAGGGAGAGTCATGAAGAACAGTCTTTATCCAAACAGGGGTAACACAGGGCAGGCAGGAACACACACAGAGCACATAGTATAGACAACACTGGACAAAGGAATCAAGGAACAGACAACACTGACGTGTGGGAACTTGGGAGGAGGACGGACACCCGGGAGGGGGCCGGAAGACAGAGTCCATGGTGGAGACGACGGGGGGGGCCAGGGAAGAGACAGGAGGGACTTGGAGCAGGCGGAGCCAGGTGGGACCCAGGCCACAGCCGTAAAGGTGACCCTCGGTGGAGCTGACGGAGGGTGGAGGAAGGGCTGACTCCAGGGGGCCGACCGACGGCGGCGGAGCAGGTGGCGGAGGAACCCGAGGTGAAGACGGAGAGCCGATGAGCCAGGGTGACGAGGAGGATCCAGAGGACCACGGCGGAACAGATGGCTCAGGCGACCGATGCGGAGGCGGGGATCCGAAGGGCCGCGGTGGAGGCGGAGCGACAGAGAACCGAGGAGGAGCCTGACAGTGCCGGAGGGACGAGGCACAGCCGGAGGAATGGAGTCGCGAGGCGACGGATGGTTGATGACAGACCAAGGCGGAGCCAGAGGGACGAGGGTTGCATCTTTGAATGGCTTCCAAAAAGTCACCAGGGTTTTAAGAATATTTTTGTTGATGCACTCTACTTTGTCATACTGCTTATTTTCCAACAGAATTGTTGCAATGTCACCATGCTGTTGAAACATGGAAACATCTTGTTTCCACTGACTGCTTTAGAGACCTACTTGGCTTCACTTGCAGGCCAGAATATTTGAAGTAGGTGACTAGTTTTTTCACGTCTTTCAGAAGATGGCCAACTTCTGGGGTTTTGTCCATCACAGCGGACAAGAATGCATGTAAAAGAATGATGTTGAGTATGTGAGCGCTACAGTTCAGTCTCATGAAACCGCGTAGAGCTGCTATCATGTTCCCTCCTCTGTCAGTGACACAGACAAGTTTCATTGCCTGTGAACTATCTATTCCAAATACTCTTCAGATTTTGAAATAGTAAAGCTCGACCGTTTAAAATATTGTCTAAATATATTTTCTTTCTGTTGTTTGATACATTTATTTAATGAATTAATTTTTTTCATTATGTTTAGTAATAAGAATATTTAAATTCAGAATATTTTAGTAAATATCAGTAAATGTTTACTAGTTGGCATGCACACAATTTAGTTACCGTGGTGTGGGCTGATGAAGATTACCTTTATTCACTGTGAAACGTTAGATAATGTTTCTTTGCCATGTCGCTTGTAATAACAGATTTATCCAGATTATATTTTATTGCTTGATGCATTTTTTGTGTAACATTTGGTGAGAACACAGCATCAGATCTGAAAGTGCTGGATCTGAAGATGATCTACTTACTGTGATTGGTTTTTGTATGCCTGTGTAGACAAGATGATTGAATGAAACGCTTCCCACATGCAGTGCAGTGATACGGTTTCTCTCCAGTGTGGATCCTCTCATGTCTTTTTAGGTCTCCTGAATCACTGAATCTCTTGTTGCAGTGCGAACACATATACGGTTTCTCTCCAGTGTGGATCCTCTCATGTCTTTTTAGGTCTCCTGAATCACTGAATCTCTTGTTGCAGTGCGAACACATATACGGTTTCTCTCCAGTGTGGATCCTCTCATGTCTTTTTAGGTCTCCTGAATCACTGAATCTCTTGTTGCAGTGCGAACACATATACGGTTTCTCTCCAGTGTGGATCCTCTCATGTCTTTTTAGGTCTCCTGAATCACTGAATCTCTTGTTGCAGTGCGAACACATATACGGTTTCTCTCCAGTGTGAATCCTCTCATGTGTTTTCAGATGTGCTGACCGACTGAATCTCTTGTCACAGTGTGAACACTTGTACTGTTTCTCTCCAGTGTGAATGTTCATATGCCCCATAAGGTTTCCTTTTAGTGCAAAACTCTTCCCGCACTGATCACATATGTATGGTTTCTCTCCAGTGTGAATCCTCTCATGTGTTTTCAGATTTGCTGACTGACTGAATCTTTTGTCACAGTGTGAACACTTATAAGGTTTCTCTCCAGTGTGGATCCTCTCATGTGTTTTCAGGTCTCCTGACTTGTTGAATATCTTGTTGCAGTGTGAACACCTATAAGGTTTTTCTCCAGTGTGAATCCTCTCATGCTGTTTTAAACGGGTCGCTGAAGTAAAAGTCTTTTCACACTCAAAGCACATGTACTCTCTCATACCAGTATATATTTTCTGATGTTCTTTCAAAATTTGTATACATGAAAAACTCTTTCCACACAAATAACATGAATGTGGCTTCTCCTTTGTAAGAACTCTTAGGTGTGTCATCAGGTTTGAAGCCCTCAAAAACGTTTTGCCGCATTGATCACATGTGTGCGATTTTTCTCCAGTGTGGATGTTCATGTGTATCTTAAGGCTTGATGATTGTGCAAAACTCTTCACGCATTGATCCCAAGTGAACGTATTCTCTCCAGTATGAGCTCTCATGTGAACATCAAGGTTATATTTGCTTGTCAAACTTTTTCCACACTGAGTGCAGGTTCTTCTTTTCTTTAAATCTTTCTGTTTGGTTTGAGAGCAACTCAAAGTTTTTTCTCCAGTTTTGGCATGATTTTTCTCAACTTCACTCAATTCCTCGTTCTCCTCACTTTCTTCAATAAACTCTAAAAGAAAAAAAAAGACAGTTAATATGTCAGTAACTTGGGGGGGCGGCTATGTGAAAGTACATACAAGTGAACCCTGGTGTAACAGTGTAAACTAAATTTTGTTCCTTTTGATGCAATTTTATAAACTACACTTCCCTGAAACTTTTCATGAATGAGGTACATTGATCATTGATCAATATCATTTTAAAAACAGACACAAATCCCATGTTTCTATAAGGAGAACTATTAAATATGTTTCATCAACTACAACATTATCTAACATACTTTTTGTTGAAAGAAAAGTGTCCCTCATTATTTGCTGCTCCATCTATATTTTTCAACAGCTCTAAGGCAGTGGTGGACGACGTACATAAGCCAAGTACTCGAATAAAAGTACAGATACGTATAATATAATATTACTCCAGTAAAAGTATGAAGTACACCTTTTCAATCTTACTCGAGTGAAAGTAAAAAAGTTATTGATTTTTAATGTATACTTAATGTCTTAATACTTAAGTAAAAAGTATATACTGCTTGATGATATTGCATGTACATCTGCATTTTGTGGTTTACTATGAGGAGTTACGTCACAATCTTTTCACTCCGAGTTGCATTTCGGGAAGGCGCAGCCATATTAGCAGGATACGCTATCCGTTCCTATGGTTACTTCTCATTCTCAATACGGATAACTGCTTAACTTTTTTGTTGTTGTTGTTGTTTTTGCCTTTAATTTAAACATTTATTCATTCTTCACTGTATCGTTTGCAGGGATGGGAAGTTATTTGATCACATCGCATGATAATTTATTTAGTTTTCTCTTAAGTTTTTGATGAATATGCTTTACAATGTTGATGTAATCAGTGGTGGACAGTAACAAAGTAGTTTTACTTCGTTACTGTACTTTAGTACATTTTTCAAGTATCTGTACTTTACTGGAGTAGTTTTATTTCGAGTAACTTTTACTTTACTACATTCCAAAGCATAAGATTGTACTTTTTACTTCACTACATTTCATAAAACTTATTGTTACTCCTTATAATATATCACGTGCGCCGAGACGCAGAAGCGGTGTCTGATTCATGAACGAACAGATTATTTTTATTGAAACCATTAAATCGGTTCGCAAATCGCACCAAACAATTCATTCACGAATTAGAATGATCCAATTGCAGCTGTTCTCGAGTCGACAACTCACTGATTCAAATTATCCGTTTAGTGCGAGTCTCCAATGAACTGAATTCACAAGAACCACACGCACGACTGATGCTGCTGTAAGTTACTAATGTCGAATTTTAGGATTAATTATTGTAACTGAAAATCATATTTAGGTCAAAGCTGTCATTTGTTTGTGAACTAAATCTGCTGTAAAGGGTGATCTGTTTAAGCCCACTGAAATGCTTGAATGCAGACACATTAACATCAGAGTCTATGTTTTAGGTCAAAAAGCGCCGCTTTTCTTTTGCGAATGTGCCGAATCTGCTGATGTAATTACAACCGCTAATGATTGAGAAAGAGAGGGTGAGGCCGGGGGAGAGCTGAGCTCTCGTGCCTCCGTTGGTAAAAAAAAATTAGCCAATCACCATCGAGTGTTCACTTATAGCGCTGAGGAATTTTGAGAAAAGAAAATTCGCAAGGGAGGCTAGCCTCCCTTCTGATATCAACCAATCATCATAGAGACGTAAATTACGTGATATTAGTTTGAACATCTCCCGCTGCGCTGATAATGTACCAAGTACTAATGATGAGTAGCGATATTGAATATTTCATTGCCAACAGATTTACAAAGCTGTCATTCAAACAGTATATATACAAATAAAAAAAAGGGGGAAACACGCCTAACTGGATATAAGCTACAGCAGTCGGCTTAATTAAATGGCACAACAGCCAGCTCTCTTTTAACACAGACTTTTAAGAAGGGAAGGATGTTTGCTTCAAGTGATAGGCCAGGTAAGTGAAATAAAATTAACTTGCTGTATGTGTATCGTTTTCTGACTAAAAGCAACCAAAAAGCCATTGTAAAGTGGTTAAGCAAATAATAATAATAATAATAATAATAATAATTCGCAGGGATCGCAGACCGGGATCACATCCACCCGGAACTGCTTCCCTTTACAACAGTGAGCGCAAGCTACATTAAAGTGATTATTACGTTTTGAATATGGATATTTTTCTTACAAAAACGCATCGATTCGCTACAGAAGGCCTTTGGTCACCCCCCCCCGGAGCCATGCGAGACACTTTTTTTTATGGATGGCCACTTTTTATTTAACTTGTTTTGGACTGAAGCATGCAACACCCGCTGAGTGCCATGAAACAGCTTGAAAGACCAAAGACAATTTTTAATATAACTCCGACTGGATTCGTCTCAAAGAAGAAAGTCATATACACCTAGGATGACTTGAGGGTAATTTATGGGCTAATTTAAATTTTTGGGTGAACTAACACTTTCATGTATTTGTTTAAAAGTCACTTTAAACCATCATCGAGTGCTTGTAATAACTTCCGATTGGGACCTATAAATGACTTTGATTATAATAGGCAGACTCTTTGTATGTCATCAACATCCTTTATTGTTATAACATTCTGCATACAAAACACGTACAGAAATTAAAGCAGCATTGAAAGGGCCCTTGCACTAGGGCTGGGCGATATGGCCAAAAAATTATCACTATATATATATTTTTTCATATCAGTTGATATCGATAATTATCACGATAAATGTACATTTTTATTTCTTTCAAGTTTAAAGGCAGATTTTTTGCTCCAATGCGAAAGTTTTAAACTATTCTTTATGGTCAGAACATGACAAACACATCATTTTTGAATTCTTTCCACTTTTCCAGTCATTTTTCCTTAACAAAATAAATATCTCAATTGAAAAAAATTATTTCTTAGTTCTGCATGTTCTAGTAATGAGTAATAGTTTCAAATCAAGAAACACGTTTGTGTTGCCTGATAATATTAATAGGCCTATAGCATTTTTTTTGTCTCTTAGAAATAAACATTTGATAGTAGCTTGAGTTAGGATGCAGATGTAGATTTATGTTCATTATCAGAATTAGTAATATCTGTAAAAAATTGTAGCAATCTCATGTATCGTTTTCTGACTAAAAGCAACCAAAAAGCCATTGTAAAGTGGTTAAGCAAATAATAATAATAATAATAATAATAATAATTCGCAGGGATCGCAGACCGGGATCACATCCACCCGGAACTGCTTCCCTTTACAACAGTGAGCGCAAGCTACATTAAAGTGATTATTACGTTTTGAATATGGATATTTTTCTTACAAAAACGCATCGATTCGCTACAGAAGGCCTTTGGTCACCCCCCCCCGGAGCCATGCGAGACACTTTTTTTTATGGATGGCCACTTTTTATTTAACTTGTTTTGGACTGAAGCATGCAACACCCGCTGAGTGCCATGAAACAGCTTGAAAGACCAAAGACAATTTTTAATATAACTCCGACTGGATTCGTCTCAAAGAAGAAAGTCATATACACCTAGGATGACTTGAGGGTAATTTATGGGCTAATTTAAATTTTTGGGTGAACTAACACTTTCATGTATTTGTTTAAAAGTCACTTTAAACCATCATCGAGTGCTTGTAATAACTTCCGATTGGGACCTATAAATGACTTTGATTATAATAGGCAGACTCTTTGTATGTCATCAACATCCTTTATTGTTATAACATTCTGCATACAAAACACGTACAGAAATTAAAGCAGCATTGAAAGGGCCCTTGCACTAGGGCTGGGCGATATGGCCAAAAAATTATCACTATATATATATTTTTTCATATCAGTTGATATCGATAATTATCACGATAAATGTACATTTTTATTTCTTTCAAGTTTAAAGGCAGATTTTTTGCTCCAATGCGAAAGTTTTAAACTATTCTTTATGGTCAGAACATGACAAACACATCATTTTTGAATTCTTTCCACTTTTCCAGTCATTTTTCCTTAACAAAATAAATATCTCAATTGAAAAAAATTATTTCTTAGTTCTGCATGTTCTAGTAATGAGTAATAGTTTCAAATCAAGAAACACGTTTGTGTTGCCTGATAATATTAATAGGCCTATAGCATTTTTTTTGTCTCTTAGAAATAAACATTTGATAGTAGCTTGAGTTAGGATGCAGATGTAGATTTATGTTCATTATCAGAATTAGTAATATCTGTAAAAAATTGTAGCAATCTCAATTTTTATATGGTGAAATGTAATTATTCTGACTGTTTGAGGTGTTTTTTTTTAACCATTGGTCTTCCATAGCATACATTTAGATCATGATAAATGTCAAAGTCATTTATATGTGCCAAACATCCTGCTGCCAGCTGGTGGCACTATGACTATAACTGAATATTGATGTGTAGATGCTTTCAGGCCAGAACCTTTATCAAACATGTGAAGTTTGGTGCAGACTGAATAAAGTATGTTTGAGTTGGTGTAAAACATGACATTTCCTGTTGCCAGCAGGTGGTGCTGTGATAATAACAGAATAATGACATATATAAGTTTTCAGGGCAGGACTTTTATCAAACATGCAAAGTTTGGTGCAGATCAGACATTGCATGTTTAAGTTAGTGTAAAACAAGTAATGTTCTGTTACCAGCAGGTGGCGCTATGATTATAATGGAATATTGGTCTTTAGATGTGTTCAGCCAGGACTCTCATTGAACGATCGGACATTGTATGCCTGAGTTACAACAACTTCTATTTCCATGGCGAAACATTGAACTTTGTCAGGCCGCCATCGACACACCCTTTAACAAAAACTCAAGATTGTCGCAATTTAACATCGTTTAGCGTTTAGATTTGACTGACCAATTATAATGTTGCTGTCATTAAATCTCTAGAAGTGCGTTACAGCATAAAACATGTTACTTCTTGCTGCCAGCAGGTGGTGCTATGACAATAACTGAATATGAGCATGTAGATCTCTTCAGGTCAGGAGTCTTATCAAACATGTGAAGTGTGGAGCAGATCGGACATTTTATGCCTGAGTTATTAACAACTTCCTGTTTCATGGTGAAACATTGAAATTTGTCAGGTCGCCATGGACACGCCCTTTAACAAAAACTCAAGATCTTCGCAATTTAACATCACAAAGGGCTTTAGATTAGACTGACCAAATTTGGTGTTGATCTGATAAAATCTCTAGGAGGAGTTCATTAATAACGCCTGAAAAAGCCAAAAATGACAAAATTTGCTGAGAAAATTAAAAAGTAACAGACTTCCTGTTGGGTTTCGGATTTTGCTCTTAGAGACTTTTTGTAGACATTGTTCTGTTACATGTGTGTACCAATTGTCATACATGTACATGAAACATAGCTTGAGGCGGACTCCGTTGGAAGTTTATAGGTGGCGCTATCAAGCCATTTTGCAACACCCACTTCTGAAACCTGTATCAGATGTAAATTTTCGCCAATTCTGATGCGTGTGCAAAGTTTCATGAATTTGAGCATGTTTAGGCCCTCAAAAATGTGATTCATTTTGGAGAAGAAGCGGAATAATAATAATAAACAGAGCAATTCCAAGAGGGTCCTCGCACCATTGACTCTACACTGGCCAAAACTCGCGTTTGGAACATCAGTGGCAAATCCTTTAAATGAAAACGTACTTACGTGAGTCAGAACTGCCGGCATTTGTTTTTGAGTACCATAGGTACGGGACAGGACACAGGGTTTTGGGGGGGGGGATGATATTCACATCATTTTGTAGCAAAAACTCTAGGCTAGCACATCCAGTTCTCAAAAGTCTTGTGAACAAATGTTCTGTATGTGTTTTACGGCCTTATTTCAGTGACTTAATTTTAGTTTTTCACTTACCACGCATAAAGGTAGTTGTTTACTCAAAAACACAATCACGTAAGCTACATTCATGCTGCTCATGTATTATTGTAGCACAGTTTGTGCTGGTTACAGTGTAGACTTGTGCCGGTATTCGGTAATGCGATATATCACGGTAATGAATATGCACGATATTGTTATCGTGGGCACTTCTAAATACTGTGAATAATTATATATATAACAAATTATTCAGAATTTTGAATGCATTTTAAGAATACTTTTCCCATCAACTGGTCAAAATGCGCAACACCGCTGTATGCTGTGTGAAAGACTTGTGGGCACTCTGATGTAAACAAGCGCGGACTAGAAGCACATGGCGGACCATGTGAGAGACGCTCTGGATGAAAGCGCACTTTCACTCGCTGACAGCAGATGGCGCTAAACTGCAGAAATAATAATAATAATAATAATAATAAT